TAGGGTGACACAAACGTTTCAATATTTCTTCGCATGCCGTTGAGATTGATTTGCTGAGCCTAGCCACCGGCCAGGGATTGTGCTCGGGGTTGTGCGACTCAAGTTCCGGTGAGTCCCAAAACACAAGACTCTGGCCCATCAGTGCATACTTTGCGGAAGTTCAATGTTGGATTCATTTTCTGTGAAGTAGGATAATAGAGCTTGGGTTGAAATCCTGAATTCAAGTGCTGCAATTTCAAATGTTTTCCTACTTCACAGAAAATGAATCCAACATCAAACTTCTGCAAAGTTTGCACTGATGGGCAAGAGCGTAATGCTTTGGGAATCGCAGGGAGTCATACCACCCAGCACAATCCATGGCCTAACCTTTCTATGGGTTTTGTTTTTCAAATATGGTCACTGCATACATAAATGGCACAACACAGATAGTGATACCTCCCGAGTAACAAAATAATTCGTGTTCGCCTTCAGCATGCGGAGTCTAAGTCGCAGGGAAGGTTATTGAGTTTTTAAAAGGGATTTTAGAATGCAGGTAATATTCCGGAAAGTACTGTATGTACTTCAAACTAGACAATTTCAGAAGTTAGGCTGAACTTTGAATGGAATTCAAACCAGCCTGTTTTGCAGCCATGTCAAAGACACCACAATTCTAAAAGCAAATTTGAACAGTTGGAAAGAAACAGACTAACACCAAGGAATGGCTCGACTCTGGTCTCACAACAAACTTCAACATGTCAGTTATGAGTTTACACAAAACATATTTTGAGTGAAAGGTCCACACTGATGAGACTATTGCTCGACAATTCCTTGCTGTCAAGCTGTTCCAAAAACGGCACCATCTCCTCCCTATTGGTTTGCCCCACAAATAATGGGCCTTGAGACCAATGCAAATGTGAGGCATATAAACACCCAGTTGTTTTCCCCTCTGCTCACCCTGAATGTGAGAGGGAGTCTACTAGTACAAACTGCACCAAGATGCAAGTCTCTAAAACGCTTTCCGGAGCGAGCACTCGAGGAATGGGCAGACGCGTACTTACATTCACCATCTGATCCTCCTGGCCTAGCTTCACCACCACGACCATGGCTCTACAAAGCAAACACACACACACGCACACACACACACACACACACACAAACACACACACACACACACACATGCACACACACACGCACACATGCACACACACGCACGCACACGCACACACACACACACACACACACACACACACACACACACACATGCACACACACACAAACACACACACATACACATGCACACACATGCACACACACACACACACATGTTCACACACACACACACACACACACACACACACACACACACACACACACACACACACACACACAAGAAAAAACAATGAGCCAAAAAGTAAACTACTTTGTTCTGAACCTAGCTGTGAGCAATGTGTGGCAAAACAGAGCATATCCGGGGTGATGATGTCATTGATTGATCGGATGATGTGGGAGTCTGTACCAGTGGTCTGTGTGTAACTATTCATCCTGCATTCACACTGTCAATACCCATCCCATCAGTACAACTACAGTCACTCCTGCCATGGCAATTCAGTCATAACATGATGTCATACGTTGGTAGAAAGTACACCGTGAGTCTTACTGGAGGTATCCGTTAGCCTTAGGTGTGAGATGGCTGGGTGTGAGGTGTGAGACGTGTTGGCTGGGCGTGAGGTGAGGGGGGGGGGGGGATTTGAGAAGCACGGCTTAAGTTCTAGCAAAGGGTTGCGCGTTTGTCCTTCCCTAATTCCAAGTCATACTGACACCATGGAGATGCTTTGCACTAGATTGCAGTATGTGTACACTGTCTGTCTATCCCTAGTGGGCAAGCATACAGCGCAGGTGCAAAGACGAGGCGGTCTGAAATAGGGTTACATGTCGGCCCCAATCATGCCTTTACCTAACTTTTAATTTTTTTCAACGCATTGGTTGGATTGTGCGCTTATCGCATGCAGAAACACCCGGAATGGTAAAGGTATATCATGAAGGATGTGTGTACACATTCTAATAAAGTAAAGTGCGTACAACCACACGTACCAATTCTGATAAATCACAGGCGACCGCATCAGTGCTTACACTCTCTGCAGCGCGGCTGTTATACTTGCTGCTTCTGCTGCTTCTGCTACCGTGGCTGCTGCTATGGCGCCTGCTGCTGTGGCGTCTGCTGCTGTGGCGTCTGCTGCTACTGCTGCTGCTGCTGTGGCGTCTGCTGCTGCTGTGGCATCTGCTGTTGCTGCTGCTGCTGCTGCTGTGGCTTCTGGTGGCGGTACTGTTGCTGCTAGCGGCATAGCTGGAACTGCTGCTATTGCTTCTGATCCAGTAATGAATGTAATCACAAGGCAATGTCGTAGACTCTTTACAGCGTCCGCACTTATGCAACTCCTCAGCGTCGTCGTCTTCCATTTCAGCGTAGTCCAGCAGTTCATATCCAGACAGCTCGATAAAGCCGATGTCCCTCCGTAACTGACAAGATGAGGTTACGGCTCGCCCAGACGTTGACCGTCGACTATTGTGCCCAGATTCTCCGCCATCATCATCTTCATCGACGACATTGGATATGCAGCGCTGGCATTGGAAGCATTGCGTCCACTCAAGACCAACAAAGCCCTGGTCTTTCAGGCTGCTAAGGGAATCATTGATCACGTCCAGCAGCTGATGGGTGGCGGCAATCACCTTCTCCTTTGATTTGGACGATGACTTCACTTCCACCAGCAGTCCAATAGGAAACCAGGAGATACGGACATGGTGCTGACGGCCAAACTTGAACGAGATAGCTGCGTATTCAACAACAGGGTTGCGGATGCCCTCATACGACTTGTTTGATACACAGTAGATTGCCATGCGACTGAAGACGGCCGGTGGGAAGAAAGCACATGAAAACTTCATCACCAGAAGAGGTGGACTGTACTGCAAATTGGCTGGAAGAGTCTTCGCTCTACCTCGCTCACTGATGCAAAATGGAAGAAGATACATGTGCTCGGTTGGCTTGACGGCTGATATCTCAGAAGCTAGGCCAAAATGACACATGATTTCCATGAGTGACTGTTGAACGCATTGATCCAGTTTCCAGACTGCCGTCAGAAGTGAAGTTGACATCCGTCCCTCTTCCTGCAGAGCCTCGATTTCTCCTACACGACCCAGGAGACGACGGCCGCTGTTGTCCCGATCATAGGAGAGGACAACCAGTTGCACGAATAGCTGTAGCAACCAGTCCACGTTGAGAAAGACAAGACTTTCAGCAGTAGGATCTTGCCAGTCGCTGCAAATCACAACACCAATGTGGTGATAGTAAGACAAAGCAGCACGGATCTCCTTGTCTGACATAGACCCATTTGACATGAACTTTGCCAGCTCCTTGAGCTCTGCAAAGGTTGCATGCATGCGTAGATCCGGCGGCATTTGGTTTGGCCTTGGTGTTTGCTGCTGCTTTGCTGTAGCTGCTACTTGAAGCCTGGTAATTGCTTTCTCCAGCTTCATCTGGTTGAGGGGAATCATGTCAGGCTCAAACAGGCAGATGTCTTCAGTCAAGTCCTCGAGGAATGTGCTCATCTCCGACGCGGGATGTCCGGGTTGTTTGTTGCTTACAAAGTATGGTCCAACCAGTTCAAGGTGAGCGGAATTCAAACGCTTTGAAATGCCCTTGACAACAGCAATTATTTCCTTCTTTTTCTCCTCGACATCGTCGACCAAATCTATGTGGGTTGCAACGAGGAACACCTTTGGCTTTGTCTTCCGTAGATCCGTTCCAGTTCTTGACTGGTGTGCGGTGTGCACGCTTGTGGTTTTTGCTGCCTCCGGGTTTGGGTTGGTGCTGGCTGGACTCTGCTGCATGCGCAAAGACACAGTGGATAGCCACATCAGCAGGAAATCTTCATGAGTCATTCCGGGAAACAATGGCTCGATGGAGACAGACTTTCCTTTGTCATAGCGGAAAACTTCAGTGTCCACTTTGTCGCACAGGTCTTTGCTGGCATCGAACGTGATCACGAACATTGCACGCCCTGAAGCAAGGCAGATGCTCTGTTGCGTTGCCATTGCTAGCTGACCACCACAGTCCCAAAACTCAACACTGGTTCGTTCGGTTTGATCCTCTTCGGTCCGTATTTGTTGCAGTTCTTCCATGATATCGTCAGCAATGCCATCAAGAATGCCTGGTGACCATGGCAACTTGTTAGTTCTATCTTCCTGATTGTGGGACATGTCCATGTGAGAGTCACCATCAGGAGTATGACTGCTGTCATTGCTGATCTGGATAGCTGACACACTGATGTCTTCCTGTGTGGTGCTGGAGTTGCTGGCTTCAGCCGCGGCTGCTTCTAAACCCGCAGCTGACGATCCACCAAAGGCTGCTTCGTCCCCTGGTTTAATGCCACCAACAAGTTGCTGCTGCCGCTGCTGCTGCTGATGCTGAGTAGCTGCAGTCATGAGCTGTGCAGACAATTCATTTTTTTGGATGCAACTGAACTTCGGTAGCAGTGCGACATCTTCCTGACTGTCGTTGGCTGGCAGAGTAGCAAGGGTTCGCCTGACGTCCACGCCTTCTGTGCTGTCTTTATTGGATTGGAACTCGTCGCCAAGAATAACTCGAATCAGATTGGACTTTCCAGTACCGTACTTGCCGCAGAAGAAGATTCTCAGTCGACGGAGTTTAACATACCGTAATGTCGCGTGCATTAGCCGGGGCTTATATGCCTATAAGCCGGTGATGGAGTCAGGCTTGTACACAAGACAGGCTTATACACGAGACAGGCTTATATGACAAGCACCACTCAATGACCAGGCTTGTATGCGCAAACTGCTGACTTTTGGACGTCAAAACCAACATTTTCCAACGGGATTTTTTTTCAACTTGCCAAGGGACAAGACGGAAAATGCCATGGGAAAGGTAAGTTTGAAGCTTGAAGAGTGCTGCATGGCCGTCGAGCGCAGCTGGTGTTGATTTCCGCATCTTCCCACGTTTTCCGCGTGTGCAAGTGTACGGTACCATGCAAACATGAACATGTAAAAGGCGCGCTCACCAGTCTTGCGTAGTAGCCCGGCTTACGCACGCGACACGTGGCGCGTCTCGTGTACTGGCCCGGCTTATGCATGCGACAGGCTTGTACGCGAAAAGCTGTTGCAGATTTCATGCTTCTACACGAGACAGGCTTATGCACAAATCCGGCTTATGCACGCGACATTACGGTAGCATGTTGAAATGATGTCATCCAGTTCAGCTGTGCATAGTCACACACACAAACACAACACGAACAGTTAGAATGGTTACATATAGATATGCAAGCCCATTCTACTGTGTCTATTCTAAGGTGCATTGGGTTGGGCCAAGAGGGCACCTGAACCCCAGAGGCCTCCCTGGGGCTACGTAGCCCCCAGACATGCCAACCTGGAGGATTGAATTCCCTGGACAATGAGGCTGAATTTCCTTGATTTGGTCCGTTTTCCCTCGACACCAATTTTTTTAGCGCATCCATCATTAGCAGATGTATTTTTCATGACTGCTGCACAATCAAAAGGGATGTCATTGCATTGAGCTGTAACTGCACAAGTAAACTTTCTGTTGACTACCGTTATACCGACGATCCGTTGCAGTTCCACATGGGGTTTGTTGTCTACTACGTGCTACATGCTGTGTGCACTTACAACGGATCTACAAGTTCGAGGAAACACTGAAAAAAAAGCATCATAAAAAGGAGAATTTCGATTTCAAAAGTTCCATCTCAGTCCCTGGAATTTCCTGGACTGTCCCGGGACAAACACCCTATTCCCAGGACTGTCCCGGGAAACCCTGGACGGTTGGCATGTATGAGGGCTAGGGAGGCCTCTGGGGTTCAGGTGTCTTGTTGGTCTACCATATATAGGTATGTGTATGCGTTTGCTACTATATACATGTACGTCAGGCGCCTGCATCTCTGCAAGACAAGATGGATTCCAGAGCCTCACTGGCATTTGGCTGACCTCATGGACGTGTAGTGTTGTACATGTGGTCGCGCTTGTAGCTCTGTGTCGTACATGCGGCTGCGCGGGTGTCTTTTGTCGTACATGTGGCTGCGCTTGTGTCTCTTTTGTCGTACACGTGGCTGCGTATGTGTCTCTGTGTCGTACATGCTGCTGACCCGTGGTACACGCCGCTGCGCTGTCTTGGAATGCTTTGTACATGCCGCTGCACCGTCTTCTGTCCCCTCCGTATGCATTATTTCTAATCTCGTCCCCGTTGCATACACATTTTCTCGTCTGGTCTCCGTTGTATTTGTCTGGTTGCCGTCTTGTGTCCGTCGTATTTCCCCGTCGTTCGTCTTTGTCTCCCGTCCTGTTCAGGCCTTGTTGTACTTTGCACAGGCACCTCTTTAGTATCCCTCACCCCACTTTTTCCCCTCTTTTCTCCACGTCCCCATAATAATAATATTGTCTTGTCCGTTTTGTTGGAGCGCAGTCCTCCAGTCACCTTACTGAAAGCAAGTTAGAGAAAACGCTCTCTCCCAGTGTGCACGAGTCTTTTGTTGTTGTGTGGAGTGGCGAGGAGAGCAACAGTTCGTCGGATTAAACTGACGACATTACTAAAGAGGTGCCTGTGCAAAGTACAACAAGGCCTGAACAGGACGGGAGACAAAGACGAACGACGGGGAAATACGACGGACACAAGACGGCAACCAGACAAATACAACGGAGACCAGACGAGAAAATGTGTATGCAACGGGGACGAGATTAGAAATAATGCATACGGAGGGGACAGAAGACGGTGCAGCGGCATGTACAAAGCATTCCAAGACAGCGCAGCGGCGTGTACCACGGGTCAGCAGCATGTACGACACAGAGACACATACGCAGCCACGTGTACGACAAAAGAGACACAAGCGCAGCCACATGTACGACAAGAGACACCCGCGCAGCCGCATGTACGACACAGAGCTACAAGCGCGACCACATGTACAACAGGTGCACCTCACCCTGTGGCTCCGGCTCCCGTTCTGGTTCAGCCCCCGGGTTCGGTCCCCACCCCTCCTCCTTCACCCCCGGGTTCCCCTCCGGGTACGCCCCCGTCTCCTCCGGGTTCCCCTCCGTCCCCGCCCCGGCCTGGTACACCCCGACCCAGACGTTCATGTGTGTTGTCGCCTGGGGGTTACGTCGCCTTAGAGGCAGGACAGGGTCAGCTTCCGTGGAAGGGGTGGTGATTGCTTGAGGCTGCGTGCTCCAGTTGTTTCGGCTGTTTTTGTCACTTTTCTTGCTCGTTCTAGTTATCGCGCCGCCGCGGCCCCGACTTCCGTCTATTTCGCCATGACGGGGTCGGAGTGCTCTCTACCGGTTGCTCCGTTGCCTCCCCCGCTCTGTCCACCGGCACCTCCAGCACTCCCGTTGCTTCGCCGTGTGCGCCGTCGGTCTCGCCGCTCGAGACAGCGCCGCAGAGTCCGCCGGGCAGCGCAGCAAACAGCACCATGCATGTCACCTGATTCACTGTCAGCACTATCCGCACCCTCTTCACCTGCACCGCGGCCGGCTACGCCTCCTGTCCTGGAGGACTTATCCGATGTTGTTCCTTTGGTGGACATTTATTGCTATAACGATCTCGCGTAAGCTGCATTTTTCTCTTGCATGTGTAATTTTGTTTGTCTCGACTGTTGGGTGGGTGGCGTACTAGGTTGGTGCTGTTCAAATAATCAAGATCCAAAGGGACAACTACAGGTCGAACAGCTCGCCAGCCGGGGTCCTCTGCAAAATCTGTTGCTTGCAGGTTCCGTTTGAGTGATGCACAGTTTTGCGGGGCTCCCGACTGGTGTTAACCCTCCTGGCCTACTCGTCATGCGTTCAACAGTCGTGACCCCACTTCTTTTGTGTTTTATTGTCGCCTATTTATGTTGTTTCACATTTCATTTCCCCGGTCTTTCTGTCTTCTTCTCCGGTCTGTCTTCTCCTGTTTTTTTATATATACACTTCCATCCACAGGAGTGGATGTCTTTTTTCGGTTGGGGATAGTGTTGTACATGTGGTCGCGCTTGTAGCTCTGTGTCGTACATGCGGCTGCGCGGGTGTCTCTTGTCGTACATGTGGCTGCGCTTGTGTCTCTTTTGTCGTACACGTGGCTGCGTATGTGTCTCTGCGTCGTACATGCTGCTGACCCGTGGTACACGCCGCTGCGCTGTCTTGGAATGCTTTGTACATGCCGCTGCACCGTCTTCTGTCCCCTCCGTATGCATTATTTCTAATCTCGTCCCCGTTGCATACACATTTTCTCGTCTGGTCTCCGTTGTATTTGTCTGGTTGCCGTCTTGTGTCCGTCGTATTTCCCCGTCGTTCGTCTTTGTCTCCCGTCCTGTTCAGGCCTTGTTGTACTTTGCACAGGCACCTCTTTAGTATCCCTCACCCCACTTTTTCCCCTCTTTTCTCCACGTCCCCATAATATATTGTCTTGTCCGTTTTGTTGGGGCGCAGTTCTCCAGTCACCTTACTGAAAGCAAGTTAGAGAAAACGCTCTCTCCTAGTTGGCACGAGTCTTTTGTTGTTGTGTGGAGTGGCGAGGAGAGCGACAGTTCGTCGGATTAAACTGACGACATGTAGTATCCATCACTCGCCTCTTTTAGCTGGCAAAGACGCCGGGTTGTATTATTATTATTATTATTTAAAGAGTCGGCGTGGAGAAAGCAATTTTATTAGTGCAATTAACCCTTTAAGAGCCACAGGAAATTTTCAAAATTCTGCATTTTTTCGTGTTCCTTGGATCATAGCTTCAGTTCTACTCACTCAATCCTCACAATCTAGGGCTTCCTGGAAAGGTATCCGCGAGAGGAAGAGAATGAGGTTGATCATGATAGCCAGCACACCGTCTATCCAGCGCTAGATCACAGCGACAGTACGAAAAATGCCCGAAATGTGTCCAATTGCGTCCCACTCCAGATATTTCATTTTACTCGATCGTGGAGTTCCAATTTTTTCGCTGTGTACTCTTGACAATATCAACAGTGAAACCCGTGCAAATTCGAGTAAACCAGCGTGACGAAAAGTCTCAAAATTCTCAATACCAAAGTCGCACTGCGCGCTTTTGAAATTGCCGCGATCGCGGCTCAACTTACGAGTGATTTATCTCAGGAACCGTTGCTCGCAGCGCTTCGCGGATTGTTTCTCCCGACAGGTGAGAGTTTTCTCTTCGCCCTGGATATTTCGATCACTGGATTTGAGCGAGATTGGACTGAGTTACGATCTTTTGAAGTTTTGCATTTGAATGCGTTGTTTACGACGCATTCAAGTATGGGGCGGCTCTTAAAGGGTTAAGAGTATAATAGATGCAGACATGGCCAGACAACAACGAGTTCATGGAATTTTTTAAAAGGATTTTATGTTATTTAAAATCGATTTTCGTGTTCCGCTCATCAGTGAATAGTATCGGAACTGAGGGTACTGTGCACTCAGTTATATATGTTAGCACTATGTTTGACACCTATTATGTAATGCTGTAGCACTTCCTTTTTTTTGTTCACACTTTTAATTATGCTTTTATAAAAATTTAATGTTCTTTTTTGTACACAGTACCCTCAAGTCCGATACTATTCACTGATGAGCGGAACACGAAAATCGATTTTGAATAACATAAGATCCTTAAAAATTCCATGAACTCGTTGTTGTCTGGCCATGTCTGCATCTATTATACTCTTAATTGCACTAATTATTATTATTATTATTTATTTAAACAAACGGCGAGGAGAAAATAATTTGATAACCGCAATCAATAAAATTAGCTGAATCGACATTTGTGTACTTTATTCATGTAATGTAAAAACGGTGGAGACGATGTGCAATAAAACGATGAAAATATGAAGAAATGGTGTAGAGAAAAAATATGGATTCAAACAAGTTTTCGTACAACACTCATCAGGAATCATCTAAGTTAGAGAAATAACACTAAGAACAACAGCAGTGACATTTACAATTGTGAAAACAATCAAAGCGAGAGCAATAACGAATGCGTGTGCTAACAATAAAATTGCAAATGGAAAAATGAACAAACAAGAGAAGGAAAGAAGGAAGGACAAAGTGATAACACATAACAGCAGTACATTTCACCTAGAACATTAACGGCCAAGCTTGGTCGCACCAAACACGACACGTTACTTGAACAATTTCAACCCAAATATACTATACTTCTGTACACACAAATTAGGCTTATACAGACGCTGATAGATAGCTTCCAACACTTTTAACTGTAGTCCATAACCATGACGACCACGGCACAATACAGTGAACGAAGAGTCGGAATACGAATTGCAACAATCAGGACTAGCTAGCAGATGATTGTACACTGAAGACTTGCTACCACGAAACCTACGCACAACACTAACACTCTCACCATCACTCCCATCACTGCTCTCCGACTCACTGCTCCCTCCGCCGTCCGTTCCATGATGTGTGGCACGAAGTTCTCCCTCCCACGAAGTTCTCCCAATCCTTTCCAATTTCAATCACTTTCTTTCACCTCTGATAGTTTCCAGAAACTGACCGTGGTTGGTCCCCTGAGGGAGGGAAAAAGACCCAAGTGCCATCAGTATGTGTGGCACGTGTTGTGAGCTGCCTTTGGAGTGAAAAACTTGTCAGCGCCTTCTAGGTTCAGCCTGGTCCCATAGCTCAGTGATTAGAGCATTGCTCATGACAAGCAGGGTTCCAGGTTCGAGTCCTGGTGGGTCTGGCGTTTTTTTTCTCTTTTCAGGCAGTTCACTTCCCCGACTGATCCTTTGAATTTGAAGTTCTCCCAATCCTTTCCAATTATTATTATTATTATTATTATTCTGTCTCTGACGAAAATGTTGAACGGCCTCTGCTGGGATGACGACTACACCATAGCTCAGTGGTTAGAGCATCGCTGGCTACAAGCGAGGGTCCCTGGTTCGAGTCCTGGTGGTGACAGTCAATTTTTTCTTCAGACTTTTCCCGTTTGTCTCTTTCCCTCAAACCAGTTAATATTATTATTTTTAATATTATTTTAAAACGAAGGTAAGTTATGGGTCGCAAGTATCCACGCAAACACACATCCAGTCATAATAAGGCACTTGTCATAAGTATCCGAACGTTTTCGGTCCCTTCTCATCAAGGATTATACAGGGAATGGCTCAAGTTGGAAAGACTAAGACTTATATAGCGTAAAGATAATTAGATAACAACACTCGTGACAAGGTGGAAAATTATCAAGTTTAGCACGACACAAAACTCGAAGGAAAATAATAATAGTGACAACAACATAGTGAGCAAATTAAGTTACATTGTTACCACCTCGACGAGGAGTAACACCAAACAATTGTAGCGACAACACATTTTCTTTCTGTACGCAAAGTTCAGGATCTAACTTACGGATATACAAAGCTTCTAACACAGCCAAATGCAACGCACATCTACCACGTGACAATATTGAGAAAACATTATCACTGTACAACTCAACTGTCTCCTCCAATGTCTCGTCATCTCGCCTCTTCGTGGCATCACCACTATCTGTCTCTTCGCGTTTCCGCGGCCTTCCACGTTTCTTGACACTAACCGTTGGGTGCGCGATACCCAGTGTCCTTTCCGCTACGTCTCCTCCATTGCGGATTTCTATTGAGCTTCTTACTCCAACTTGTCCGGTGTCCGATATTGAGGTTAGTTTTCTTATTATGACTGGATGTGTGTTTGCGTGGATACTTGCGACCCATACCTTACCTTCGTTTTAAAGTATTATCCGCCTCCGACCACTTTTAAAAATTATTATTATTATTATTCTCCCTGACCTTCGCTTCCCTTCAACCACGCAGATCTTGATGCTAGAGCAATATCGAATTGCGCTAAGATGTAGTTAGGGACTCAGCAGGGTCAAGCAGGACACAGAGTGTCCAAGTTCGGCAAGAAACATGAAAATTCCAACATGTTGGAATTTCCATTTCGGCGCGTTTCCGTACGCATGGCGCCCCAAAAGCCAGCAAAAATACGCACAAACGCGTGGCTTCACGTGAACACAGCTTAAGTGTTTGTACGGTTGCAGGACATAGAGTATCGCTTCGCGACACGGGGGCTGATTTATCGTTGTGAGAAACAATACATTTTGGCAACAGCGTACTAAAATTAGCGTTCATCTTGCTAAAGGTCGAACCCAAATCTCGCTATTTTCCCCTTACGGTAATACCGTTACAACATAACGTTTTTTTGCTAAGGGTGTCGATTGTAGGGGAAGAGTGTGTTGATCCCTACATGGGAGCTCGCGGTTTTCCTGCCGACTTGAATTCTCATTTGACTGACTCACAACTGCCATCCAGAGCACATGAGAAGTCCATCGAACCGTCCACTCGGCAAACCTGCAAGAAAGCACCACTTCCTGCTCAATACACAGTGTTTCGGGGAATTCACCCCTCATCAGTTGAACTTGAGTAGGCTGAGGAAGATTATGTCTGAAGAGCACCACACCACCACAGTGCTCGGCTCCAGGCACAAGCATCACCAGGGATACGAACTTACAGAGACGCTCCGTTTCCAGCGCGACAAACACCTCGTGAACACCAGATAGCAGCGCGAGTCAGTGTCGCTCATGGAGGTGCTGAACAAGCGCTGAGGACCGTTCGCCATTCACAACGTTGTTGCCTCCAAACCATTCAAGTCAAAAATTCAAGTCGGCAGGAAAACCATGAGCTCCCATGTAGGGAGCAACACACTCTTCCCCTATCATCGCCGAAGTCGCACCAACCTCTTCTTCACAGTGTTTATTGTAGTTATTATAATTACTACGCTATTGTGCTAGTTTATAAATGTGTAATTTTTCCTATTTTCTTCAACACATGACCCCCACTATCACCCTGCATGCATTCCCTCGATAAACCTCGCATACATAGTGTATGTATTACATACACTTTTTGCCAAGCTGCTTCATGTTCTGATCCTGCAGTTGAAAGCACTAAAGCTGTCTTTGATGGTACGGTACGGGACATGTACGGGATAGTGGCAGGCATGCCCGACGCCAGAAACACACACACACACACACACAAACAGAAATACGAAATACAACAGTGTAGACCCCTGGCTAGTGCCAGACACTACTAAAGTAACGTCTTATAAATAAGTGAGAAATACATTAGAGGCATCTTACAGCTTCATCCGCAGAGAGTAGCTGGGTGGACACACCCACAGTTTGGTGGACACATTCCCATCGTTTAATTTCGAACCTGACGATGGCAATTTTGCCGAAACGTTGTGCGTAAAGGAGTTGGTTCGGGTTTGCAGTGCTTTGGGAATGGGTGTGTCCACCCAACTACTCTCTATGCCTTTTAAATAGCTTCTGGAATAGAACAAATTTCGGTTCTATTGATAGTAGTACAAGTAACAGTGCCATTAGTACAGCCACACATTATCTAGAAGACAATGCTGGTGGGTGCCTTCTTCCTTTGGACCAGGAGAGGGCGGTTTTCGATGTCCTGAGGGAGAAGCACCCGGATCCTGTCAACAGTGATGAGGGTATTCTGTTGGATGACGAGCTGATAGTTCCGGAGAGTGTGCTCTATGAAGGCATAACAGTGGCACGTATCAGAAAGTCATGCCGCATGATGTCAATGAAAGGCACAGCAGGTCCCTCTGGCCTGGATTCAGTTGCCTGGCGACGCATGGTCTCCACGTTCAAGGCACCGTCCAATACTTTGTGTTCAGCTCTAGCTCGTGCCGCCCAGTCCTTATGTACTCAGGCTCTCAAGTCGAAACATGAATGAAGACGGTGGCGTATCTACTTGGTTGGGTACACCGCCCATGGTTTAACCCCAAGCAGTATATTATTACTCAACAAAACGGCTTTCGTGACACTTTGTGTCTGCGCTATGGTTTAGCTCTGAGTAGTGTGCCTTCATCGTGCGTCTGTGGCCGTGACATGACGACTCATCACGTATTCACGTGCCCTGGCGGAGGGTATCCTACTCAGTGCCATAACCAGTTACGGGACCTCTTTGCCGACACACTGGCAGAGGTGGTGTGTGACGCTGGTGGAGACTGAGCCCCAACTTACTCCATTGCAGGATGAGGCTTTGTCAGGCAACACTGCCAATGGCGCTCGTGTGGATGTCCGGGCTTGTGGCTTCTGGTCGCGGCAGCAAAACGCCTTTTGATGTTAGGGTTACTCACCCAAGGCCATCTTTGCTGTCGCGATCACAAGTAATGAGCCAATTGGTGGATCACAAGCGTCAGAATAAGCGCCATTAAACCGAACGTATCAACAAGGTTGATCACGGATCGTTCACGCCCCTGGTGTTTGCCACGAATGGCATGTGCAACAGAGGCCACCATTTTCCTGCGTACTTTAGCTGCACGAATTCACGACCATCACTGTGACCTGTCGTATTCCCTGGTTGTGAGGCAATTGCGCTCGAGGATCAGTTTGTGCCTTGTGCGGTGGCAAATTACCTGCCTTTGTGGTGCCCGTGCGTCCAATGTCAGGAGGCATGCTGGTGCCGGTGCTCATACTCATAGCTTCGTCATGGAGTGCCGGGCCCGTGTTCATCTTTTGACCTGACTGTGACCGTCAATGTTCTTCAAGTTTCACATGGACTGACTATATTTATTTAACTCAGATGGAGAGCCAAGGATTAAAATTAAAAAAGAGGACCATAAGTTTACAAGTTATCCGTTTTGTCCAACACTTAGGCTAACGATTATAAGCAGGATACTGTTGAGTCAAAATGTGCAAAAATTAGCACAAAACTGACTGATGTGTTACTGACATTCAACACCCTGATGCTTAGCTGCATCACGTCTGGAATGTGGGTCTATTTGATCGCTTTCATAACTTAGAACCTTCCAAGTTGGAAGGCTGTTGGTTTGCGCATTCCAGACGTGATAAGCATCAGGTCGTTGAATGTCAGCATCACATCAGTCAGTTTTGTGTTAATTGTTGCACATTTTGACTCAAGCGTATCCTGCTATACCGTAAAGTACTGTTGATCCGCCCCCTGTCGATGTTCTACCTGTGAAACGATTTCGGCGTATACAATGAAATACGATGTTGAACCGACGCTTGCACTGCTGTACACAATACGTGCCAATCCAGGATGAAAATGTGCACAATGCAGCACATCGAGTCTGATCCTCGACGTTGTTGTACATCGTACTGCATTTCACAGCCTTGATCTAATTCCCGCCCCCTGCCGAAAAACCAGCTGGGAAGCGACATCGCGTGGGGGGGGGGGGGGAGGATCAACGGTATTTTACGGCAATCGTTAGTGTTGGACAAAACGGATAACTTGTAAACTTATGGTCCTCTCTTTTTTAAGTTTATTTATTACCCCACTATTCAAACCAGATCCATTCTTGTTGTTGTTGTTGTTGTTGATTTGTTGTATGTTGAAAGTTTTGCTTTGATTTGCTGCGGAAATGTGCTGACTGTGTTTTATCCATATTTGAGTGGGTCTATTTGATCGCTTTTTAGTGGTTTCTATTCCATGCTTTTCAGTGTGTGAGACTTCATTCACTCTTTTTCTCTTTATTTTCTTCTTCTTTTTAGGAAATTGGATGTATCTTGCATCCATACCTTCATTTGCTGTTGCTTTATGCCTTCTGTTTGATGGTTGCCGTTGCTAATTTGGATTGGAATAAAACGATTCGCCCAATAGTACCACTAGTGGTGTGTGCGTGTGCGCACGTGTGTGTGGATGCGTGCGTGCGTGTGTACAGTCCATTCATTGGAAACTGGCACCCTAACTTTTTGGTGTCTCTCTCACATAGTTGTAGGTATCGTGAAAACAACAGTACATCCTGCATTGTGTGACCCGTGCAATTACTCCTTGCCACATTTGAGGGCAGAAATGTCCAAGAACAGGGAAATAGAAATTCAGCCAGGTTTTACAAAATTAGGACATGTATGCCATGGCAAAATGTGTGGAGAAGCAGATCCCAAACCCAGATTTTTGAAATTTAAAGTGGGTTTTTGATCCTCAATTTGGCCCAAATCGGACTTTCAAAAGTCACCGGGACTGTTTCGGATGAATGGACTGTAGTTGTTGATTAGTAGCAATTGTGTGTGTGCTTTTAGGGTGCAATTTATACCAGGCTTTCTGAGATCCACTTACTGGCCTCCTCTAAGGTTCTCTGTCTGCTCAGAGTAGACTCTGGAGCTGTTGTACATTGACTAAGCATTAGTGAACAAATGAAACGCGAACTGATTGTGATGGTGTCTGGTGATGCCAGGTATAATAATTGCACAAGTACTGTGTACATTTCCCTCACTTACCCATCTCTCTCTCTCTCTCTCTCTCTCTCTCTCTCTCTCTCTCTCTCTATCTCTGTCTCTGTCTCTCTGTCTCTCTCCGCCATTCCTTCCTCTCGCCCCCCCCCCCCCCCCCCTCTCCCATGGTGCTTGCTGTGTACGCCGATCCCGAGACCCTTGGTGGGGGAGTCCACTGCATCTCACCAGCGCAGCTCATGTAGCGCCCACACATCCATTGTTTTTGTTTTTTTTGTCTTCGTTTTGTCTCCCCTTCTTCCGTAGGTATGTGCAATGTGATAAAAAAAATGTTTTAATGTGCGTGTACAATACTCAGCAATACAAACCATGAAATGTCAGTGTATGCTGGCACAGGAACCCATCATGGGTCCTAGTGGTTTTGCCTAGAAATGAAGGTCGCATTTACCTTTGTCAATCGTGGGACTTGTCTGCTCATCCATAGGCTCATCTGAAGTTGATCTGTGGGACAAATACCAAGAACCGTGAATTAGAACGGAATGAAAAACCAGTACTTAAGTACTGGCGCACGCGCGCGCGCGCGCGCACACGCACACACACACACACACACACACACACACACACACACACACACAGCACCAACAACTCAGTAAAGAAAGAGAATTTCAAATAAAAGCAACAGAGACGCAAAGGACATGTGGATAATGAGCTACTTATGTCGTAGTAAATAAGGGGCGGCACGGATCTTGAACAGGTGGAGTGAGACCATATCCTTAACTTCTCTGGGAAGAATGAGCCAAACAGAAAAAGCAATAAATAGAGGGGAGCGCAAAAGAGTGGATGAGTTACACTTGGGAAGCACAAGCGAGTCCCTAGTTCTTAGAGAAGACAACCAATTAAAACACATGCGATGAGGTGGAAACAAATCAAGCTTAATAGAATGGACAACAGCAGCCAGGTGTGCACTGCGTCTATGTGATAACGGAGTTGTGTGAGCGAGTTTATAAAGAGCGGATGATGAGAGTATGCGGGGTTGACGGAGGAGAATTTTAAGGATTTTCTTGTGGTGTATTTCAAGCTTTGCAGCAGTGGACGAAGACAATCCAGCCCAAGACGTATCGGCATAATCGAATACTGGGCGAAGATAGACTGAATAAAAAAGAAGCTTGCTAGAGAGTGGGAGCAGTGGGAGCAGTGGGGGGGGGGGGGGAGAATTCCTAAGGATTTACTTGATTTTTTTACAGATATATTCGATATGGGACACCCAAGAGAGTGCAGAGTCAATTACAAAAAAATGTGTGCATGTGTGAATGAAATTATGGCTCAGTATCATTATTATGCTGAGCAGGAGAAGATTCACCCGTACGCACTACTATAAGCAATGTAGCAGGACGGGGAAGCCGATACAGTAAAATGTGTCAAGGCGACCACTCTGATAAGGCAACCACCTGTCCTAGTGGACCAATACAGATAGGACCAAGGGATGTTATTTCCAGTCGAATGACCCCGGCTGGATAAGGAGACCACCTGTACACAGCGACCATATTTTGTAAGGTCCTTTGAGCGGTCGTCTTAGACAGGTTCCACTGTACCATGGATACTGGTGTGAAAATCAGTTATAGACTGGTGTTCACATCTTGGTCATGTGACTAAATTTGTGCACAAACTGGTCATGGCGTGTGGACAGTGAAACCAACATGGCCGACATCGTGTGACCCATAGATGCAAGGGTTGAGCAGATTTGGAACCAACATGGCTGTCCCTGGATTGTCATGTGATAGATGTGAAACAATTCAATGCAGGTACTCCCCCCACCCCAGTTCTTCGGCAACACACGACACTGTACTCACTCTGCTTGTTGCTGTTGATGCAGTCGAGCTCCGTGCGTACCCTTCTGTTCCGACCCCCTGCGCTTGACTGGACAGCAAAACATGCGCGTGTGTCATAATACGCGTGCACGCACACACGTGCAGCGTACACATACACACACGCACGCACACGCACACACACACACACACACACACACACACACACACACACACACACACACATACATAATCTTCATGCTCTGCAATGATACCCATGTATGGCAAAGTACCATTGCCCCCCCCCCCCCCCCCCCCAAGCTGTGTCACTCTCTGTGTCGTTATATATTCGGCTTTCGGCTGGGGCGGCTGTTGACATGTACAAGGTGATACAATTACACGAAAGATCAGGCTTGTCCTCCTGCATTGTGCACATTTCCATTCCCCATGCACCATGTACCATGTATACGCCCGTCGCAAGAGTAGCACGCAAATCTGCAACTGCACTGGATGTGCACCCACAGATTTTCTCTTATAGTAACGATAGCGGACAAGATCTGAATGAGACAGATCAAGACTTGCGCCAGATAACTGTCTTTTGGGTGCCGAAGATCGAATCGATATTTTGTTCTCCCTTCGCCGAGACTGCGCTCACATGGATGGAGTCACCCGCGGCCAAGTCAATAAATTCCCTTTCTTTACCCATTGTGCAAACTCAAGCTGGATACAAATCTATTTCATTCCTTGGTGCTGACCGCTTTAATGCGCTTCCCGAATTCCTTCGCACAAATCATATCCCAATTCATTTCGCCAGGAACTTAACACATTCATTCATCTTGGGCACCCTGTAAGAAGACCTTAGGGTCTGTTGGGAATGCCCAAGTAAAAATAATAAAGTACAATACTTGAATACAAAAAAATTGTTCCACTTCCTTTTACCAGCAGGAAGAGTGGGTGGGTGTGTTGGGGCTGAAAAACACTAAAACGTTTCACTTGGAAAAGACAATCGGTAACCCCGGACAGCCCCTTACCTGATTCCTCATCATATTCTTCAACATTATCGGCTGGTAACCATGGTGATGGATCCTTCGCCCAATTTCGGAGGTCTTTCATTGGCTTTGTGTCGCGTCCATACTCGTCCCGGAGCTTCACAGCGGAATTATGCTTATCACCACCGCCGACGTGAATCCCTACAACATAGCCAGTAGCAGAGGCCGTTTCAGCTTCGCCTTCTTTGGGCAGAAGGAAGACGGGCGAGCCACCTTGCCCACCGCTAGAGTCAACAAAGTAGTGAAGCTGATTGTCGTGCTCTGCAAACTCAGCACGGCGGGGCTCGTCAACCCAGTATTTGCATTTCTCGGCCGTCTCTTGACGGCCACCATAGTAGGTGTACATTGGATATCCGCACATGCGGACGTCATCCTCTTCCTTCTGGCACTGGGTCGCAACGCCAAGAAGGTTTTCATCTGCCCAGTATACCAGCGGACACTCGCAGCGACTCTTCTTGGCTGCTATTATGCCATAGTCGTGTCGAAATTGGTCAAGATTGCTATTCGTCTTTGAATCCTTGGCATTGTCCTTGTACCAGTCAGGAACGATCAACCAGCCATTCTCGTTCTTGCGGGTTATCTTTCCCTTGGTTAGGAACTGGTGCTCAGATAAATCGCTGTAGATTTGTACCCAGAGCCAGTGGCCGCAATTGGTGCAGAGCAGATTATGTGCGGCAGTCGCGAAGATGTACTCCTTGCTAGCTGCATAGTTCAGATCGCTGAGTAGGAAGCACGTTCCTCGATAAGCCAGAGTTTGGTCTTTGTCGCAATTGTCGCAGCCACACTCCAGAGCAAATATGGAATGAAAGGGACTGGCCGTTTCAGCAGATGGCTCGGCCACGCTTACTCGCTTGTCGTACGGTTTTAGAATAGGCATAATAGAGCTTAGGGCGATGATAGAAGATTACTCCTCGAGGGCCTCCATCATGCCGGTTCACATGGTTCAGGGCTCAGTTTACGACTCCCTGTGCCGTTCGCACGTTCGCTTGCCTTTCAGGCTTTCTTGGTGTTTGCAGTGCGCGGCATAGCGCCCACTTGCACTTGTACAGTGTAGTAGTTGCTGCTACTACTTGTACATGACGAAAGACGATAATCGATTATCGGTACGTACACGACCGTTTTATTTGAATAGGGAGGTTGTGCATAACGAAAATAATTCGTAACTTAGACGTAGTCTGGGCACGAGTAACGAAAAAGGAAAGGAACTAACTAACTTTCGCGTCCGATCGCGAAACTAATACCGTACTGGCAATATATGTTGCCGCAGTGAGGCCATGAAACGTTACATTGGCACATGTTTGCCGCACGCAGGGCGTTACATACAAAGTCGCACAGGAGCCGTTACACAGGTTTCTATATTGCCGCAGTCCTTTTTTTGCTATTGCAGGACTTCCTGCTGCGTCCAGTTTTGAACTTTTCACCACGCGGTACACGTGCTTTCACAGTTTTCAGCCTTTTTTGCAATGAAAAGATCGCCGCACCCCGCCGGACGCGCGTTACGAACTCAACGAAAATTTGTCGCACTAGCCTGGTCGCGCGTTACGCCGCACCCCCCTGCGTTACGCGTTACGCGGCAACATATATTGCCAGTACGGTATATTACACAATCATACACTAGTTGCGAGGGCAAGACGCTCTGATCTTGCCCGAGGTCTGTGAGTGATCTTGCCCGAGCTAGGTCGAGACGCCCGAGGGGCGCAGCCCCGAGGGCGTCTCGACCGAGGGCAAGAACACTCACATGACCGAGGGCCAGATCAGAGCGGCTTGCCCGACGCAACTGTGTATGATCGTGGTTCATACATGGCCCACCTCCCGAACAACGGTTTCCACTTACATCCTTTGAGCCGCGTAGACGGTATAACTAGTAAGTAGTATAACTTCAGGGCTCACAGTAGGCATGCAGGATCGACAAAAGCGTCGTGCGAGGGCGGGTTTGGTGCACGTGAGTCGCGTGACCCCGGGAGAGTACCGATCGTGTACATCCCACGCATCCAAAACAGAACAGAAAAGAGAAAGAACCCGAGTTGTACTTGTACCATGTGTACTGTTCTCGTAGTTTTAGAGCCGATGTTCGCGATATTTTGAAGGAAAAGGCGAAACGCAACCTGTGCTAGTCCCAGTAAAAACAACATGCCATGTTCGACCAAGAGCTGATCCTACAATGAGCGATCGTGATGATTCCACAGGTAAGAAGACAAACAAACGAGTCAGAGCTCGCCAGGCAGGTAACGCCGAGAACATGATGATACCACACGGAGCTGGTGATCGGATGGAGGTGAACGGGACCAGCAAATCCACAGGGCGTTTGTCGAGGGCCACTGAAGACCAGGTTTCCCAGGGTGCCAGTTCCTCCATGATGGCGAAATGCGCTGCCACAAGAACTCCAGCGAGAATAAAAGCACAGCAACCAACGCCGCGGGCGAACTGAGGAGAGAACACTGAACAATCTGTGCACAATGATTTTCTCTTCGACGGCACGCGTTGCTGTTCTGCTGCATGCATGCGTTTTTCTTGTTGTTTGATCTTCACACATTTTCGCGGTTGCGCGCCGCTAGGACTCGGGGTTACTAAAATTAGTACAGAGCATCTCCCCTTTGGTCGATTTGGACAATCAATGGCTCAAAATTTTCAGGAGACCCTGGCAAAGAAATTTACCGAGACGTTTTTGGATATTCCTTTCGAATGCTGTACTATATCTCACGAAGTTTACGCATATGCTCTGGCATACCCGTGTGAGTAATGAAAATTTGTTTCGGTAAATCTTTTGGAACACCTGTCATCTGTGCCTGGGCCAAGTCTAAGCTTCGTAGAACCAGGCTGAAGTGCTGCTAACTCCTTCAAACACCCCCTACTTCGAGCAAAAATGCGACGAAATGCTGACTGCTGATTGGCCAAGCTGGCATTTTGGAGCACGTGCACCGCCCCCATCTAATCGACGCTTTTCTACGCAACTGTGAGCCCTGAACTTTTAAAGCCTTTTTCTTTGCTCAATGCTCAAGAACAAGTAGGTTGGTCGGGGACGTGGTGGCTACACTATCACTCCTTTGCTGACACGCGATGATCTTATCAATTTTCGCTTACATCAGTACATGAATGATGAAGGCCTCGAGCGTAGATCTATTGTGCTACGCGCCTTGGCCAGCGCCCGGGCCTTGGGCCAGCCTGGCCGTACGCTCATCGGAGGCATGGTCATGTTTTCACTGGCATTCTTTGAAACTGTATATAAGCGCGACACCACCTAGGGGTGGAGGTCGGGGACGTGGTGGACGGATCTCTTGCCATTTTTTCCTATTATTTACTCCTCAGGTTAAGTGGGGGGAAAGTGGAAAAGCCTCTTGTACGGGCAAGAACAAAGTAATACAGCTAGCGTGTGTTGAAGAAGAAAATGAGCGGAAATGTACTATGCTGTGAAACACGCATGAGGCATGATCAGGGCAAATGACAGCTGAAAAGAAAAGGAAAGAAAACAAACACACACACACACACACACACACACACACACACACACACAACAACAACAACAACAACAACAACAAGTGCCATACGCTCTCTATGGATCTCTTGCCATTTTTTCCTATTATTTACTCCTCAGGTTAAGTGGGGGGAAAGTGGAAAAGCCTCTTGTACGGGCAAGAACAAAGTAATACAGCTAGCGTGTGTTGAAGAAGAAAATGAGCGGAAATGTACTATGCTGTGAAACACGCATGAGGCATGATCAGGGCAAATGACAGCTGAAAAGAAAAGGAAAGAAAACAAACACACACACACACACACACACACACACACAACAACAACAACAACAACAACAAGTGCCATACGCATGAATGTTAACGGCCAACGCCAAGGCCGACACCATCGCAAATTGCCAGCCCACCGAGACGACGACGTGAACCCCGGAGACGAAGGTCGACAGCCCGGAAAACAGCAAACTGATGGTGGATCCGCACCCACGACATGACGTTGCTGTAGGACTTGTCCCACCTGGAGGCAAGGCGCATAGCAAGTCGCCGTTGATACGCACGGTACTCTGTGTGCAGTGCACCATCAGTTGAGCAGACCAGCGGGGTGAAGGATGCTCGCAGCTCCTCTGCGGCCGCCTTGTACTTTCTCTTCTTGGAAGAGGCAGCACTGTTGGATACGGCGTTCCAAGAGAGGTTCGAGCGGATGTAGCTGGGTGCGTCGGCATCCACGATGCGGTTGTCAAAGTACGCCACCCTGTCTCCTTCCCAAACTCCCCGGACCAGCCAATCCGCCTGCAGTGTGGGGCGGTTGTTGCCATCCTGCACAGGTACCATCACCGGCTAGACAGCCACACCTCCCCATGCAACGTCTGCCAGCCGGGCATCGAAGTCGCGGACATCGTTGTGCCCGCGCTTGATGAGCCCACCCTTCATGCAATCCAGACCATGCTGTAGAGAGAAAGCAGCTCCACAGCCATCGCAATGCGACGGGAGAGCGTTCGGCTCCTGGCCATAGCGAATGGCCAACTGATCGCGGAACTGGACCGCCGACATGTCATAACCTTCCTGCTTGAGAGGAAGCACGGTCAACCAGCCGGAAGCGTTGCCATCAACGATGCGGTTGAGGGTCCGCTGTTGGCGACGCGGAAGCGCAGCTCGGAGGACTTTACTACGTTCCGTCATCTGCAGGTCTCGAGCACGGCTGACCTCGCTGGTGACTTGACGGCACTGGCTGATGTGGTGAGCCATGTCGACCGGTGCACCGGTGCAAATGGCAGCCTGCAGAATCTCAGTGGCGCGCTTCGATGTGGCATGAGCATCAGGGGCTGACGTAACGGGATTGGCCAGGCCGAGACCTCCCACTTTGGCTGAAAGGGCCAACAGATCTTGCTCAACGTCAAGCACCTCACGACCTAGCAAGCTGGGGGCGAATACGTGCCGGATAGTGTCCCGCAGGGGAGTATACTCGGTCTCGTTGCCTTCCAACACACGCTGGAGATAGGTCCACTCGCACGAGAGGGATCTCGTAAACGCGGAGTGTGCTGACTGCGGGTACGCCTTTGCTGCCTTGGCAAGGCAGTTGACACCATCGACCCAATCACTCACTCTGCTACGGACAAAGGAAGAGACTTCCTCTGGATCACCAATGTAGCTACCCAGGAAGCGACCGGAGGTGGTGACTTGCACGTTTAGATTGCCGAAGATTGTCTTGGCGGCCTCCAAATGATGGGGCTTGACGATCACGATGGATTTCGAGGGCTCGGCGAAGTACCCAAACGCTGGACCCTGCTCGAGGAGGGAGAGGAACCACTCCTTGATTCGCAGCAACCTCCCGAGGCACGACGAGTCGTCTGCGTACCAATTCTGGATGTGATGACTTGGATCCTTGAGACGCTCGATGAGGGGCTGTATGCCGATAGCATACATGAGCATGGCTAATGGGCAGCCTTGGGTTGTTCCTTCGCGGCTGAGGATGGCATGGGTGCCGGCGCCATTTGGGTTTTTCAGAACTACCACTGGGAAGCCCCGATAGCAGTTGAAGAGGAACCTGGAACAGCGCGGCCACAAAACCCTGCAGTTCCAGAGAGCTGCTGGCCGACTGATGGAGTTGAACGCGTTTGCCGCGTCCACCAGTAAAAGACCTTCAGTCTCGTCCTGATTGAATAGCTGGGACATGGATTAAGTCGTCCTTTCGTACTCGTAGACTGTATATAAGCGCGATACCACCTAGGGGTGGAGGTCGGGGACGTGGTGGCCAGAACTCTTGCCATTTTTCCCTTGGCCTTGAAGAAGAAGAATGTTTTGAATTGTTTTCAGGTTGTCGCTGTTTAGTTTTGTCACTCCTTTACTGACACGCGTACAAACCTGTTGTCAACATCGCCATTAGCTTGTAGAATACTGCATTGTATACTGGATTGTAGAATACTACATGTAGCCACCTTTGCTACCTTACATCATAGTACACTCATACCTCGGTTATCCGGACTTCGAAGT